CTGTGTGTGTGTGTGTGTGTGTGTGTGTGTGTGTGTGTGTGTGTGTGTGTGCGCAGGTGTGCAAACACTTCCTGGACGCCATCGAGAGCAACAAGTACGGCTGGTTCTGGGCGTGTCCGTCAGGCGGAGAAGTCTGCATGTACCGCCACGCTCTGCCACCAGGCTTCGTCCTGAAGAAAGACAAGAAGAAGGACGAGAAGGAGGAAGAGAAGATCTCACTGGAGGAGCTGATCGAGAACGAGGTGAGGGACGGAATATAGAAATATGGTGCTAACAAGTGTCTAAATGAGACGATTGAATGTCATCACGCCCAACGTTAGCCTCCTTTAGCTTAGCGGTGGTGAAGTCATGTGACCGTGCTGTAGTTCCTTTATAGCCCAACATTAGCCTCCTTTAGCTTAGCGGTGGTGACGTGAAGTCATGTGACCGTGCTGTAGTTCCTTTATAGCCCAACATTAGCCTCCTTTAGCTTAGCGGTGGTGATGTGAAGTCATGTGACCGTGCTGTAGTTCCTTTATAGCCCAACATTAGCCTCCTTTAGCTTAGCGGTGGTGAAGTCATGTGACCGTGCTGTAGTTCCTTTATAGCCCAACATTAGCCTCCTTTAGCTTAGCGGTGGTGACGTGAAGTCATGTGACCGTGCTGTAGTTCCTTTATAGCCCAACATTAGCCTCCTTTAGCTTAGCGGTGGTGACGTGAAGTCATGTGACCGTGCTGTAGTTCCTTTATAGCCCAACATTAGCCTCCTTTAGCTTAGCGGTGGTGACGTGAAGTCATGTGACCGTGCTGTAGTTCCTTTATAGCCCAACATTAGCCTCCTTTAGCTTAGCGGTGGTGACGTGAAGTCATGTGACCGTGCTGTAGTTCCTTTATAGCCCAACATTAGCCTCCTTTAGCTTAGCGGTGGTGATGTGAAGTCATGTGACCGTACTATTCTCCATGTGTCTGATTGAACTCTCGTCTCTCCACAGAGAGCGGCGTTGGGAGCTAACGTGACTCGGATCACCCTGGAGACTTTCCTGGCCTGGAAGAAGAGGAAAAGGCAGGAGAAGGTGGGAACATGTTTTATATATTTTAAAGAAACATCGGTTAGTTAGAAAGCTCTGACCATAGAAGAAGAAATGAGAGCCGTGTTGTTTACGTCCATCTTGTATACGGGCCTCATGTTCTCGAGATAATTTATGTATCTTATAATCAAGATCAGAGACACAGAACTCATGCTATAGTTATATATGTGTTTATTTATTATAAAGGGACAATGCAAATCTGATGTCTCTCGGCAGGAAAAGAGAACTCAAAACACGCCATAATATATATTTGTTTTTGCACAATTTAAAATACACAAACATAGAAGGAGCAGGAAGAGGCAGAAAACCCTTTTTTTAAAAAGCCTCACATAGAAACTATTAAAATACACGATGTTTAACAAGATTATTATTAAAAAGGTTATATGAATTAAACCAGTAGAACAAATTAAATAAAGGAAAAAAAGTGAAGGTTAAAGTGAATAAATAAATACACATTTACAAGGTCAGGTGATCTCGAGGTGATGCAGGTTTTCATTTATTTAGGTTAAATACCTTAAATGTTTGTCTCAAAACATTAACGATGTGTTTTAAAATCCCCATCTCCTCCTCGAACAGATTGAGAAAGCGAGGGAGCAGATGGAGAAGAAGAAGGCCGACTTCAAGGCGGGGAAATCGCTAACGGTGAGTCGGACATCTTGTTTCTGACGCTTCACATCCCATAATCCCTCAGTGGAGCGGGACTAAATCAATCACCTGTGTCTTCAGTGTACTCACCTGTATGTTCCTTCTGCTAGGCTAGAGGCTAGAGGCTGGCTTGGTCCTTTGGGAGTTATTATATTATTATTATTTATTTAATGTTTTGAGAATGTTTTCTGTGTTTGCTATAAGGGGGAAACAAGGGGAGAGTATAGGAGATGGGGGGAGGGTTCGAGAGGAAACAAGGAGACAAGGGGAGATTATAGGAGACAAAAGGAGATGGGGGGGGTCGAGAGGAAACAAGGGGATATTATAGGAGATGGGGAGTTGAGAGGAAACAAGGAGACACGGGAGATTATAGGAGACACAGGGAGATTATAGGAGATGGGGGAGTTGAGAGGAAACAAGGAGACACAGGGAGATTATAGGAGACAAGGGGAGTTGAGAGGAAACAAGGAGATTATAGGAGACAAGGGGAGTTGAGAGGAAAC